GTTCATGGGGTCACGAAGAGTCGGACACGACTTAACGACTAAACAACAACAACAATGGTTGAACAAAACAAGCTAATAGGAATCATAGTTTCAGTTATGAGACATAATTATAAAGTGCAGTTAATTAGAAAGGAAATGAAAATTATGATACTCTCACAACTACACTGAAGGAAAGAAAAGGCATCTAAGATCTATGCATGCATAAAGCTAACCACAGTTTAACCTAAAGTATATTTCTATAACACACCTAAGCCAAGTCTGTACTTTTGGTTCAGTGCCAAATAATATTTCAGTCTCCAGCCACCTGTGGTTTGTTGATTAACCCCATTTCGGTTAGTCAACCAAACTTCCTGTTTTAAAAAACTTTTTTATAAAACATTTTTTTAAAATTGGGTAGTAGCCCAATTAAGTTTGCAGCATCACAGTGGGGGAGAGATTGAACCTTCCCTATATCTGTTTATTCTCATTTTCAGAGGCTGAAAATCAAAGTTAACCACAGATTAATCTTCCTCTGAGTTAGTTGGTTTAGGTGAGTAAAACTATTATAAACCATGTTTTTAGTTTGTAATTAAGGCTCTTTTAACCAATGGTCCCACTTTGGCCATCATGCAAGGCCTAAACCATGATGCAGATGCAGTCTTAATATCCATGATCAATGGTATTGAAGGCTACCGAGAGGTTAAGAAGAGCAAGGATGGAAGCACTGCCCCCATCCTGCTCCCGCCAGAGGTCATCAATGCTGTCTCAGTCCCATATCGTGGCCTGAATCCTGACTGAAAGGGTCCAGATAATCTGCTTCATCCAGAGCCCTTTGAAGCTGCCGTGCAACCATTTTTTCAACAATCTTCCCTAAAAGGGGGAGGTTGGAGACTGCATGAAAACTATTAGTTGGGTTGAGCGATGGCCCCTTGAGAAAGGGGGACACCATGCCCTCCTTAAGAGCCGGTGGGACCACCTCCTCCCTCAAAGAGGAATTAACCACCGCCCAGACCCAATTACCTGTCCTCTCCTTGACCAGCCAGGAGGGGCACAGATCTAACACAAGTGGCCGAACTAACAACTACAAGAACCCTGTCCACTTCCTCAGGTTCAACAGGCTTGAACTCCTCCCAGATAACCATGCAAGACTCAGTCCCCATAGCCCCCATTGGCCTTGCATCAAGACTGGAATTCAACACAGAGCAGATGTGAGCAACTTTACCCGCCAGATACTCAGCATATTCCTTACAACGGCCCTGAAGGTAGACCCCCAAATTACTCCCTCCGAGGAGAGTCCGAGTATGACGGTCTCTCATAAAAAGCAAAGAAATGAGGCAAGAAGGTAATATAAATGATCTCAAGAATCAGTCCTTATACTTATTCTAACCTGCTGAGATGAGAATATGACAGCTTGCTAGAGGATAGGGAAGCCAAAAGCAGCTCTGCAGCCTGCTGCAGTAGACAGAGGCCAAATTACGTTTGGCATAGACATTGGGACTTGTCACATTCTGCAACAGCAAACATGAGGGCATAATTCTGCAGAGCATATTGTGCCAAAACTAGACTTTTAGACTAAACAGCATGCTAAGAGCAGCCTTTCAATTGTATATGATTTGGAGCAGTTGAAAGGCCAAAGCCTAATTCCTTGTTCCTTCTCACTTGTTTCTAAGCACTTTATCTTATTTTTCTACTTGAGAACAAATGCTCTAAGTGACTCATAAGTAAGTCTTCCAAGATGAAGTATTTAACACTGTAGCAGGTTGCATGAAAACATTTGGCCCAACCATTGAGCAATGATAGCATGTGCAGGACTGTTTCCCAGACATGTTCTGTTTAGAACTATCAAAATGTTGGCTGAAATTATTAAAGAGCCATTCTTCATATGATTTCTTGTTTTCAAGACAATTTTAAATTGGATTTATCTTCATTATGAAGAACCATGCAGGGCCAGGCTAGAGGCCCATTTAGTGCATCAGGACTACCCTCACACTCGCCAGATGTTCAACAGAAACTCACAAATGGGACATGAGAACACAAAATTCTCCAGCAACATGGTATTCTGAGGCATATTGGAGCTTGGTATCAGGCATGACCAATAGCCACTGTTAGTATTATACTGTGCAATAGCTTTGTTGTTTTATCAGTAGTCAGAGTTAACTATGCTTATAAATACATTAAAGTACATTGATTTAGTAATGATCAACTTGTCCCATTGATTTCATTTAGTCTTGTAGTGAGCGTTAACGGCCTGTTGCTTCTTTGCTTCTGTACCTCAAGCTTTTGCTGACCTAGTGACTGTGTG